AGCTTGGGCATCATTTCCTCACCCTTCTACGACGGGGAAACTGAGGCCCAGACAGCACCTTTGCAGAGTTTGACCTCGGGCAAAGAGGTCAGCACATGGACGCTGAAGCCACATGGGCCTGAATTCAACTCCCAGCCCTGTTATTTACCTGCTGTGTGTCCTCGAGCAAGTGACTTCACCTCTCTGAGCATCAGTTTTCTTATATATAAAATGAGGCTCTCAATAGTACCTCCCCAGTGTAAAAATTAATCCCGGGGATCAAACAGTTGTCCTCTTGTGCCCTCTCTAGGCCCTGTTGCTTCGGCTAGTTTCGTTTTCAGGCTCTGCTTGTAGGCACATGTCCCTGCAGTTCCAGGCCTGCTGCCTCAGTAAAGGAGGCTCGGGCGAAGCGGGTTGTGGGGCAACCTCAGCCGCCTCTGCTACTGTTCCGAGCTTGCATCTCACTGGCTAACAGGATCATATTATTCTCCCTGAGCCAGTCGTGTCCTGATCGACCAGGACGAGTCACACACCCACTTCTAGAGATGGAGGTGGATTCTGCTCCATTGTATTTTGGGGACTGGGAATGTGGGCAGGTTAGCTCCACTGAAGAAAAATCAAGAAGGGTGACTTATGTCACGGGAGGGCAGTGATTCCTACCACCAATGCTCTGTCTAGGCAGAAGCTATCTCGTTCCACTAGAAAAGTGTCTCACCTATAACATGAGCTCAGTAAGTAATGGTTGAATGAATGAATAGGGAGGGAAGAAGCAGATTCCTGGCAGTCTAGTGTAGTGAAGAGAACACTGGCCTGGGGGTCAGGAGACCACAACAGCTCACAGTTTTGGGTGGGTTCTGATACCCCTTTGAGCCTTAGTCTGCTAATCTGGGAAATGGGCATGATGGCTAACACCTGCCTTAATGGCTTATGGGTAGATTAAATTTTGGTACTTCTAGTACCCAACAGCTGCCAAGCATGTTGTTCCTCATGGTCTTCCTTTATCTTTAGCAATGGGAGATGGAGCAGGAACCCTGGGTACTCCCCAAGAGGGGCTGGTTGGGAAGAGATTTGGAATTTAGGCTCTTTGAGCAAGACAGGCTTGCATTTGGATCTGCTTTTACCCTCTACTCTGTGTGCCCTGAGGCAAATCACCGTGCCTCTTGAAATCTCAGTTTGCTCATCTGTAAGTTGGAACTACTAACACTTGTCTCCAAGGGTTGGATGGAGGATGAAGTGAGAAATTCCATTTAAGGCCTGTCCTGGCACACAGTGAGTGCTCAGGCAATGTTAGCTGTGTTTATCAGCAGCTATTATTATTCCGTTCTCTGACATCGGGGTGAGCAGATTGCTGCCTCAACCAGGCTTTTATTAAAGAATTTAATTTTGGCCAAGTCACTTTAGGCGCCACGACTGCTGCCAACTAACCCCTTTCTGGCGGGCTCTGGTCCCTGTAATCTGAGCGAGGTGCTGGGCAGCGGGCGTCCCTCAGTGTTGACACTGGCGCCCAGCTGGAGGCCCAGCCCCATGGTCAATGCTGCCTTTCAGGGTGATGGGCAAGGCAAGTTTTGTGCACTCATGGGAAACAGTCCGTGCCTGGGCCTCCCCCACTTTGGGCAGAAAATACTCTTTTAAGGAAACCCAGGAAGAGATGACATGCAGCCTCCTTTTACCACCTCTCAGGAGTGAAAGGTGAATGATTGCGGGGGGAGGCGCGGCTTATGCCCACTCAGCTCTCCCCCATGCTGCTCTGGCTGGGGGTCAGGAGAGCATGGTCAAGGTGGTTGCTGTGCTCACCTGGCCCTAGCTCTGGCCATCCCGCTGAGCTCTCCTTTTGCAGGCCTCACCTCATCTTCTGGGTTTGGAGAGAAGGAGCGTGTGTGTTGTGCAATGTGTAAGGGTACTTTGGTGGTCCTCTTGTGGGACACTTGAAAATCAGCATTACCAAAAATGGAAGGGCAGGTACACAATCAGGTGAGAGAGAGAGAGCGAGCACGAGAGCGCAGGCACCCAGTGGCTGAATTCATGAGTTTCTCAGGTGTTCTCGATAAGCTACCAAGTTTAGGAGGAGTTTAGGGGAGAGGCCCCCACTCAGGAAGGGCGAGTGAGCAGGTGAGTTTCAGCACCAGGACTGACCTGGGGGAATGACCCCACAGGAAATTCCCTCCCCACACCGGGCTCCTGGGCCACATGTGGAAGGGAGCACGCGGAGGAAGGGTGAGCCTGCCAGAGTGCAGACTTGGGAGCAGGGGTCCAGACCAGCCCTGTCTCCCGTGTTGCAGGGGACTCTACTCCAGCCTCCTCATCTGTGCATGAGATAGTAATAGCACCGACATCATAGGGTGGTGGTTGAGGAGATAAGTGAGTTAGCACGTGTTAGAGTGTAGTCCAGTGACCTTGATCAGTGCGAGACCGTTGTTGTCACTGTGTGGGGGCCTGGGGACTTTGCAGCTGAGTTACAGAAACAGTTACCTAAACAGAATAAATTTACAAATGAATATAAAAATTGCCTACTGGCATTACTCCCTTCCAGAAGGTTCCCTGGCAAGGATCGACACCCCCTCTCGGCTCCCCTCCCCCCACAAGCATGCAGTCTAGTCACCAACGGTAGAGGGGTAGGTCTCTAACTGGACCTTGAGGCCAGGGGCAGGGTTGCTGTGTCTCTGCTTGACCAACTGAGCCACCCAGGTGCCCCTGCTCAGTCCCTGCACGGAGGGTGCCCTGTGCGGGGCTGGCCTGGGAGTGCTCGTAGGTGTCTTGTCGTCATCTGGGCTTCGAGGCTTCTGAGTTCTGGGGATGTTAGGAAGACTCTGTATCGTAGTGGAAAGTGCACAGAGTCTTGGAAGTGAGAAGACCCAGATTCAAATTCTGGTGCCACTACCCTAGCTCCAGCCATGTCCCCCCTCTAAGCCTGTAGAATGGGGACACTGGGGTGCTGGGTGCTGTTGTGTCATGTGAGGTGATGTGAATGCTCATTGTCCTTCCAGGGGTGTTAGGCGTGTGGGAGCAGCTGGGCCATCACCATTTGCAGTAGATCAGGTTGCAGAGCTGTTCTCTGAGGTGAATGGTGTGTGACACTGTTTTCAGGAAGGCACCACAGTGGAGACCGACTGGGCTGTTCGTGGGGTCCAGGGCAGCTCGTTCCCCTCATGCTTTCCCACAGATTGCGATTCAGAGGGTCCAGACCCCAGTGGCTTGCTTTTAGGGCCTGTGTTGTAGGAAAGTGTGCTCCCTTATGCAGCACAGTGAGTGAGTGCTCCCAGAGGCAGCCCTGCAGCTCACGGGCTGCCTGAGGGCATGTGGGTTCTGCTCCCTTTTCCTGGACACCGGCTCCTCATGCCTGGAATTGCTTGCACCACTTACATGGTCGTTTCTCTCTTGCTCTCAGTTCTTAAAATTGTGGTAAAATATGCATAACATAAAACTGACCATTTTTAGCCTTTTCTAAGTGTACAATTTAGCGGCCTTAAGTACATTCACAATGTGCAGCCTTCCCCACTATCCGTGTCCAGAACTCTTTCATCATCCCAAACAGACACTCTGTCCCCATTAAACACTGTCTGTCCATCCCCCCTAGTGGCCTCTGTTACACCTTCTGTCTCTGAATTTCACTCCTGTAGGGATCTCACATAAGTGGGGGCATATGATATTTGTTCTTTTGTGACTGGCTTTTTTTCACTTAGCAAAGGGTCATCCATGTTGTAGCAGGTGTCAGAATTTCCTTCCCTTTTTTTAAAAAAGGATTTTATTTATTTTATTAGAAAGAGAGAGAGGGAGAAGCAGACTCCCTGCTGAGCAGGGAGCTCATCACGGGGTTCAGTCCCAGGACCCTGGGATCATGACTTGAGCTGAAGGCAGACGCTTAACCGATGGAGCCACCCAGGTGTCCCAGAATTTCCTTCCTTTTTAAGGCTGAATAATATTCCATTGAACGTGTGTACCACTTTTTGTTTCTCCATTCACCTGCAGGTGGACGTTTGGCTAGCTTACACCTTTTGGCTTTTGTCGGTAGTGCTACTGTGAAAATGGGTGGACAGATACCTGCTCAAATCCCTGTGTTCAGTTCTTTTGCATTTATCCCCCAGAGTGAAATGGCTGGGCTGTGGAAATTCTATGTTTAATCTTTTAATAAACCCCCAAACTCTTGTCCATGGTGAGTACACCATTCTGCCTTCCCACCAGCCATTCACAAAGGTTCCAGTTTTTCCACATTCTCACCAACACATTTTTCATTTTTATTTATTTTTTATTTTTTAAAAGATTTTACATATTTATTAGAGAGAGAGAGAGCATGAGAGAGCACAAGTGGGGAGTGGCAGGGAGAGGGAGAAGCAGGGAGCCTGATGTGGGGCTCAATCCCAGGACCCTGACCGAGATCACAGCCCGAGCCCAAGTCAGTGCCCAACCGACTGAGCCACCCAGCTGCCCCCAGTTTTCCATTTTTTATATAAAAAGTGTCCTACCGGGGCACCTGGGTGGCTCAGTCAGTTAAGCCTCTGCCTTCGGCTCAGGTCCTGATTCCAGGGTCCTGGGATCGAGCCCCATGATGGGCTCCCTGCTCAGTGGGGAGCCTGCTTCTCCCTCTCCTGCCCCCCACCCTCGCTTGTGCACTCTCTCTGTCAAATAAATAAAATCTTTAAAAAAAAAAGTGTCATACCACTTTATGGTTCAGTGACTTGGATCTCTTACTGAACAACTTAACAGTCTTTTCATGTTGGCGTTTGTAGAGAGCTAAGCCATTCTTGTGTTTTTACTTATCGCATAGTATGGGTATATGCTGTACTTTAAAAAATATGGTTGTTATGAAATGCCGAACATTGTTTCTCACGCATGCCCCCTGCACTGACATACTGAGCAGCGCCGGCCATTGTCAAGAACAGTGGATCTCCTGCTCCGGCCTCACCGTTCCCACGCGGACCCCCGGCCTCTGCCGGCCCACTCCCGCGGGCCTCTCCGAGCTGGCTTCCTGGGCTCCGTTTCCTGCCAGGCAGGCCTCGTTGACCTTCTTTGTCTCCACTCTGCAGGCCAAGAACAAGGAGACAGGTGCTTTGGCTGCCGCCAAGGTAATTGAGACCAAGAGTGAGGAGGAGCTCGAGGACTACACGGTGGAGATCGACATCCTGGCCACCTGTGACCACCCCTACATCGTGAAGCTCCTGGGAGCCTACTACTATGACGGGAAGCTGTGGGTAAGGGCCTCCTGCTGCCTCCTCTGGGTCCTTGTGGCCTGGCAAGGCCGAACTAGCCTGATTCAGAGGTCCTCAGCTCGTTCTCAGTGTCTGCTTTGAGGGCAAGGGCTGGGGTGAGAAGAAGGTGAAGCAGGGGGGCTCGAGGTCCCCCGTCCTTCCCTTTCTGCAGAGCCTCCCCACTTTTGGGGGTGGGGACACTGGTTTAGAGCAGGAAGGAAGTCTGCAGTTCTACTGCCAGGCCTCAGATCCCAGCTCTGCCACTCACAAGTTGGAGAACCCCGGGCAAGTTCTTAAGCTCTCTGCCTCAGTTTTTCCAACTGTAAGATGGGGGTAATAATGGTACATAGCTCATATGGTTATTACAGGGATTAAAGAAATTAATTCATGATCAGTGTTTAGAAGTGTACCTGGCAGGTGTAAGAGTTCAGTGACTGTTGGCTGTTTTATTAGTTGTAATAGTGGCATCGTTATTAGCCGTAGCTTCTGCGTGGGGATTCTTTTCAACGGTGCTAAAGAAGGGGGCGCCTTAGCAGCCCCCATTCTCCGTCAGCAGCCTTAGCGTGATGTGCACATTGCAGATGCAGCTTCAAGCCCCTCCTTCCAAACCCAGCATCACCCCCAGCTTCTCTAGAGTAATTCTGCAGCGCCCCCGGTTTGCACAGGGCGTGTCCACCTTGTACAATCCTGTCCAGTGGACGCTCAGGTAGTATGAATGCCTCTCAGTTTATAAAACCCACACTTCCTAGAACATATGTGTCTCTTCAGACTATTTTTCGGTAAGTGTTTTATATGTAAAGCAACATGTTTATGTCCCCAAAACTCAGTACAACATTTGTCACAATATCACGTGCAGGACAAGTCTCACGTGAATTGTAGTTGGGAGACTGTCAGAACCATGTGTAGATGTTTTGCAGAGGGAGCTGAGGGGCTGCAGGTCTGGGCGTCCCCGGTGGTGCTGGAGCTGGGAGAGCCGGCCCAGGTCCATGTTGCTTGCACACAGCAAGGTTAAGCATGATTTGGTGGTCAGCAGGGTGGTGTTGTAACATTCGACCCCCTATCATGGTAGTTTATTATGTGTAGAGAGAGTATTACTATGCTTTAGTTACATTTTAGGAAATTAATGGGAAGTTAGGAGTTGACAAGTAGTGCTTTATGATTTTTCCCATTTAAAATAAGGGGAGGGTGCTGGGTGGCTCAGATGGTTAAGCCTCTGCCTTCGGCTCAGGTCATGATTCCAGGGTCCTGGGATGGAGCCCCACATCTGGCTCCCTGCTCAGCGGGGAGTCTGCTTCTCCCTTTCCCACTCCCCCTGCTCATGCTCTCTCTCTCTCTCTCTCTCTGTATCTCTCTGTCTCAAATGAATTAAGAAAAAAATCTTTAAAATAAGGGGAAATAGGTTCCAGGTTGGCTTTTTTGTTTTTGCACAGGATGCCTGATTTTTAGGAACAGACTATTGATGCTTGATGGGGAAATCTGTGTTTCATTTGTGAAAAGAATCCTGCTATTTAAGAAAACCAAAGGAGAGTTGAGAACCACCGTCAGAGTTGATCCTCTCATTTCCCAGAGGTGAAGGAAGCCAGTATGTGAGGGCAGCGGGCATGCGGCTCCCCCCAGCCCTGCCCAGAGCTCTGTCTGCTGACACTACCTCCCCTTCCAGTCCTGCACAGAAGCCAACTTTCCTTTTCCTCTCTGAGAATCTCCTTGGGGAGCCTCCTGGATGTCACTGGGGGGATAAAACCACCCCCTGACTGCCAGCCGCAGATTCTAAAACTGTTCCTCATCTACTGTCTCCAGGTGCCTCAGGAGGTGGTGAGCAGGACGGGGACCCAGGCACAGAAAGGGCACGCCCTCTTGCTCATGGTCACACACCTGCACCTACATGTTTCCTCTGTCCTGATTCATGGAGCTGCTTTTCATTATTTATTTATTTATTTATTTTAAAGAGTTTATTTATTTATTTGACAGAGAGAGACACAGCAAGAGAGGGAACACAAGGGGGGGGGAGTGGGAGAGGGAGAAGCAGGCTTCCTGCTGAGCAGGGAGCCCGATGTGGGGCTCGATCCCAGGACGCTGGGATCGTGACCTGAGCCGAAGGCAGACGTTTATTTTTTTTTTATTTTATTTTTTTTTTTTTAGGATTTTATTTATTTGACAGAGAGAGAGAGAGAGAGAGCAGGAACACAAGCGGGGGGACTGGGAGAGGGAGAAGCAGGCTTCCCGCCGAGGAGAGAGCCCGATGTGGGACTCGATCCCAGGACGCTGGGATCACGACCTGAGCCGAAGGCAGACGCTTAACGACTGAACCACCCAGGTGCCCCGAAGGCAGACGTTTAACGACTAAGCCACCCAGGCACCCCTGGAGCTGCTTTTTAAAAAGCCCTCTCTTTTTAGAAATTAAACAAATATTATTTATATAGTTAACAGAGAAAAATGAGAGTGTAAGGAAAAACAGAAGGAAAAAAGATTAAAACCATTCAAATATTTGTACCAGAGATAACCACATTTAGGATATATTTTTCTAGGCTTTTTAAAAAGAAATAAACACATATATACCCATACCCACAGGTTTTTTAAAAAGAAGAATTGATGCCATACTTATTACATTACTTTTTACTCTTTTTATTTAAAATCTATTTTTTTTTTAAATAATCTCTACACCCAACGTGGGGCTTGAACTCACCACCCTGAGATCAAGAGTGGCATGCTCTGCCAACTGAGCCAGCCAGATCCCCCATTTACTTAAGGTCTGTTAAGAACCACTTTTCGTGGGGCGCCTGGGCGGCTCAGTCGTCGGGCGTCTGCCTTCAGCTCAGGTCATGGTCCCAGGGTCCTGGGATCGAGCCCCGCATCGGGCTCCCTGCTCGGCGGGAAGCCTGCTTCTCCCTCTCCCACTCCCCCTGCTTGTGTTCCCTCTCTCGCTGTGTGTCAAATAAATAAATAAAAATCTTAAAAAAAAAACAACACAAAAAAACCACTTTTCATGTCAGTGGGGAAGCACCTTCATGATTATTCAGTAGAATTCCATCTTCTCACTGTGCCATTCTCTGTTGTTAGGCATTTACGCTGCTTTCTTTTTTTTTCTCTTAGAAACAAAGTTGTGGTGGACCTCTTTGAATGTTTGTATGCTTGCCTGTGAACCTCCTTAGGAAAATTTTTAAGCATCTGAAGTGTCTGTTGCTAAACCAGGCTCACAGAGTCACTTTTCATATATATCTATATCTATATATATTTTTTTTGCCACTTTTCATATTATACAAAGGAGTTTTCCCACCTCCCTGCCCACCTACGACACCTACCCAACATTCGTCTGTTTACCTGTCCATCCATACAACCTTTATTGGACTGCTGATTATGTACTCATTAAGAAAAACATCTTTTATATGTCTGTCCCCATTATTGATTGTGGCCAGGTAGAAAGTTCATGACTTTCCCAGGTCCAAAGATAATACCAACCATAGCTAACACTTACTGAGGGCTTACTGTGTTCGAGGCCTTTTAGCTGTGAGTTTTACTGGGATTATGTCATTTACTTTTCATTCTATGAGGTAGTTGCTTTTTCCCCATTTTACAGATGAAAATAAGAAACAAAGAGGTTAAGTAAGTTCCCACCCAAGGCCACGCAGCTAGAAAGTGGCAGAGTTGGAAAACCAGAAAGAGAAGAAGGACAGTTTGTAACTGGGCTGTGACTGTCATGAGGTTGTTTAAATAGATACATGTTCTGACCCAGAGTTGCCTTTAGGCTGATACTTTCTTACCCAGGGCTGCTGCTGTGGCCAAAACCATTTCTCACCCTCCTCTTCTGTAACTGCCCCTACCACCTGCATTTGTTGTTTTATAGACCCTTAAACGTGCCATGTCCTCATTTTTGAGGATTTGAGTTTTAGACATTGTGAAATGAAGGCAGAAGGTGCTGGAACTAGGTGGGTGACAGGCAAAGGGTCTCCCGCAGAAGGGGCAGTGGTGCAGAAGCATGAAAGTTGTGGCATTTGGATAATGGGTGGTCTAGGATCAGGGCAGCATGTGGAAAGAGGAGGGCAGTAAGTAACTGGAGGCCATGTTGTGTGCAGGGCTTCCAATGCCAAGGTGAAGAGTTTGCACTTAACGTTTTATTTTATTTTTTTAAAATAAAGATTTAATTTATTTGAGAGAGAGAGAGAGAGAGAGCATGAGCAGGGGAAGAGGCAGAGGGAGAGGGAGAAGCAGACTTGCCTGCTGAGCTGGGAGCCCGATGCTCCCTGAGGTGATGACCTGAGCCGAAGGCAGACGCTTAACTGACTGAGCCACCCAGGCATTCCCTACACTTAACTTTTTAGATCAGTGGTTCTCAGAGTACCACCCTCAGACCAGCAGCTGCAGCCCCTGGGACCTTGTGAGAAATGCTATCGGGTCCCAGCCCAGACAGACCCGCTCAATCAGAAACTCTGGGTGGGGCCCAGCAGTCTGTTGTAAGGAGCCTTCTAGGTGTCTCTGGTGCTTGTTTAGCTTTGAGAACTGTTTCACGTAAGGGGGACTCAGTGGCAGTTTTCCACAGGGGAGAGACGTTTTGTGTTTTAGAAAGAAATCAGGTTTGAGGGGGCAAGAGTGAAAGCTTCGAGGTCAACCAGAAAGCAGTAAGAAAAGGCTGTGGGGTGGGGACATTACTGGGTCAGCAAGAGCTGCCAGAGGGACATTTGAGCTGTATCTTGCAGGATGCCTGGGAGTTCTCCAGAGGGATGGGAGAAGGAAGCGCAGTTGGAAGAGAGAGAGACAGCATGTGCAAAAGTATGGGAGAGAGAAATCTTGTTCTGAGATACAGGGTTGGAAGGTGCATGGACTTTTTGGTGTCTCCTGCTGCGTGATGGTTTTCGGACCCAGGCCTCCGGTGTGGCTCCAGGGACCATCTTTCCATGGTGGTGTCTTTGACAAAACCCATCCTGGACCTGGGGTCTGCTCTCAGGGCTTGGGCTTTGGGATGAGAAACTGGCTCTTGCCCAACTGCTCTGGACCCTTTCCCCAGCCAT